CCCGTACCCTAACCCTACCCTATGCCCCCCGTACCCTAACCCTACCCTATGCCCACCGTACCCTAACCCTACCCTACCCTGCAGGGTAGGGTAGGGTTACCCTGCAGGACTCTACTCTAGGGTGTGTGGAGGTATGGGTGTGGGTGGGTGTAGATGAGACAATGACACTTATACCCACACCCACACCCACACCCACACCCGCACCCACACCCTGGGTAACTGCTCGATTTCATTCAATCAGCAACCGGAGATGCAAAAGTGGCACTATCTGCTTGACTAATCCTCCTCTTATGAAGCAATTTGCACGCTACTAATGAAAGATACACTTGATACGAAAAATGCCAGCACTATTGCCTCTAAAGCACTTCTTCTTTTGATCGGATTGTTTTTCAATAGTATCGAAATTTAATCCCTTATTGCTTTCATCAAAATGTATATATACGATTGCTGGTGTGTCATACGTGCATCTCAAGAATCAAAGCAAGTATTTTCACTCTAGCATTATACTTTCTTACATCTTATCACCTACTTAACTGTTTCCAAAAACGTTTTGTTTTTATTTCTTTAGGTTTAAACTACTCACTATTCATCGTTTATCTTTAGCAGTGATCACAAGATGGTTAGTATCACTGTTTTGACTGCGATGTTTTGTCTCGCTAGTGTTCACTTGCGAGTAACTTCTGGCGCAGGATGCTGGTCTGCAAACGCTTGCATTGATAAGAATGTCTGCACTAACAAGGGTGGCAAAACTCAAGTAGGTCTCTGCCCGGGTGCCGCCAACATTCAGTGCTGTAGCTGGTAAGCTGCTCATCACCGCTGCTACTAAGACTTAACCATATTCCTTTAGTACAACATGCAAGGATGCAGCAGCCTGTAGGGCTGGTGGTGGAACACCTCATGCGGGTATTTGCCCTGGCACCGCGAATATTCAATGCTGCAAAGGAGGAGGTTCCACTCCAACTGGTCCTGGCACTAGTAAGCCAATTAACACGATGCTCACAGGTTTGGCTGATATACTTCGAGGCGCTGGTCTCAAGGTTGTCGAAGTTGCCGGCTGGAAGACTCGTGGACATGGTGTGATGAGTTCAGTGAAGGGTATTATTGTTCATCACACAGCAGGCCCAGCGACAGGCGATTTTCCCTCATTAGGGGTCGTTCGAGATGGCACATCTAGTCTTTCTGGTCCACTTGCACAGCTCGGATTGGGCCGCACTGGAACTTGGTTTGTCATTGCAGCAGGTCGTTCTTATCATGCCGGCAGCACCTTAGATGACTCCATCTATGGCAATAGTAACGCAATCGGAATCGAAGCCGAAGGAACTGGTTTACCAGCTACCGATAGCGGACATGCTCACTGGCCAGAAGTGCAGTACCAGAGTTACGTGAAAGGTGTGAAAGCTCTTCAAAAAGCTTACGGTGTGCCCACTGCTCGTGTCTTGGGACACAAGGAGGCGGCGGTGCCTAAAGGTCGCAAGATCGATCCCAACTTTTCCATGGCTGAATTTCGCTCTAAGCTCGGTTGAAGTGATGTGATTTGCTTCTTCTGTTTGTCCTTTTTTTGTGTGATGTATTGTTCAACAGAAGGCTAAGCCCTATAGTTTTTCAAAAAATACACCTTATAATCCAAATGATCTATGCACAATTATATCACTTTTGACATGTTCAATTAGAATTGGGATTCTTGAATATAATTAATAAGTAGTATGACGATCATCCTGCTATAAAAATATGTGCACATAAAGAAGCTTCGAAAAGTCTGACATATTTCCCATGTTTTTTAAGACATTTGAAAGGAGTTTTTTTTTCAACATTTCTCGCGATAATGATTGCAAGCAATCTTGGTAGAGTATTTTTTTTTTGTTCAACTTCATCGTTGATCATTGTTACAGTATATTCTATTGAAAGGTACTATTTACGACTTTAATATTTTTGAGCTCATTAATATTACAAAACTGACTCTTACATAGTGGCAGAGCCAGAAAACATTTGTGTAGGGCTCAGGCCCCCAGAAAAAATTTGTGGCGCTCAGCCGCCGTTTAAAGCTGAAAGACAGGTATGTTCTTCGCCTATAATATAGAATCGTCTCATTTCTAGAGTAAGATGAAAGGCTTTTGGAGGGAGCCCAGCCCTCTCCAAACATTTCCTGGCTCTCCCACTAAAACATACGTCTAAGTACTATCAAATAGCTAAGAATAATCATGTTCATTTACGCTCTACTAGATTTTTTCATGTTTCTCAGCAAGACAATTAGATTTAAAAATTTTCCGCTAGAGGGAAAGAGTTCAGTCCTCTCCAGCTACTTCTGACTTCGCCACTATCTTCACAGGAAGTTAAACAATGCAAAAGGA